TACATACATACATACATACATACATACATACATACATAAGTGTCCTCTGTAGAATAACAGCTTTTTTCAAGGTCTTTGCTGTGGTTTAAAAATGAAGAAGGCACTACATGACTTCATACTATATTTTTGATTCCAACTTTGTTTTTTATGCAGATTTATTTAACAAACATATGAAAAAAGTTAGCTTTTGTAGGCCATGCAGTTATAATGTAGTAGTTGTTTTAATCAGTATGGTGTTCATGTGTGTTCATGTGCGCTTCATTTTGATGCCACCCCATAGGTGTTCCTTTTAAGCTTCACTCCTCACTGTTTTTTTTTTTTTTTGACAATTTCTTTTCAAGCAAAAATCTCTTGAATGTCTGTTTTTAACTATTTCAGTATTCTTTACTCGGCCTATTTGATTGTCAGGACACCTTTATTGCTGTAAACCTATTTAATTATCCCGTTATTAAATATATGATGGTTAAACCTCAGCATTTCACTGACATCCCAGGCTCGTCGTATAACAGACACTGGCGCCGTCGCATCTTCATACTCTGACAAATTAGGTTAGCTCGATCACAGACATCTCCTGGCTTCTAAAAATAATCTGAGATTAATTGTTAAAGGTCAGACCTGACACCGTTCTTACCTGACTGTCTCTTCTGCAGCGATGGGTTCTCCCCCCGCTGGGAGATGATGTGAAATTAAATCCCCGCCTCGGGGAGCGGAGCCMGGGCGTCAGGACGATCGGGCAAAGGAGGCTTCTGATCTCATTTCACTTGATCAGCACTAAAGTGGGACGATATGATTAGCTTGACAAGGCTTTGAGTTTGTTGGCTTGGAACAGCATAACGTTTGGGTGGAAGTACTTGTCTTTYAGTATTTGTTCTGACCAATTAGGGCACTAATATTTTAAACTATCTTCTTATTTGACAATTCTCAAGCGAAACGTTTTGGGTAATTTATTTATTTATTTTTGCTATATCATTGTGGAGCATCTGTTTTCTCCTAAAGCTTAACCCACTGACAGATTTCTTCCCCTTTTTAGAATAAGTGAAAATTCATCAATGTTCCAGTTTAAATGCAGCAAAACCCATAGAATCACCTCAGTACTTATTCACAGATGAGCTATTTGTACTGGAATACAGAGCTTTTGTTTTTTAAATGTTTTATTCAAACAGAAAACTTCAGTTTTGGCCTTTTTAGAAATTAATTTCCAAACTGTCAGTTCATTTGCTTTTGGGCAGCTTTAGCTCTCTGAAAGCACTACTTTCAAACCTGTAATCTCCTTTATTGGAGCAGCTCTCACACCTGATTACTACCCTTTTGAGGGAAAACACTCGACTCTAATTACAACTTTGGCCTTTTTGCTAATCCTCAGGATTCATGCACTTTTAGAAATACTGCATCATCACATCTTTTTGTTATAATCCCAAGAAACCTTGTTGACTTTCAGTCAAGTTTTAGTCTCTTTGTTTAGAGTTGCAGTTATCTCCTKCTTTGTAAATATCTGATGTTAATTTAGGTCACATGTTCAGAAAGGGTTCATATCTTTTTAAACAAGTCCTTACTTGCCTTTTTTCTCATTTGATGCCTGGAAAAGTCAGATGAGACATTTCTTTTCCATGGTATTTAACAAATATGTAGAGGATCATCTTTCCAGCCGAGTTTCATATTTTTACAATCCTTCTTTCTCTCCTTCTCAACCCGTCTTCTACACACACACACACACACCAGTTGCCAAGAAAACACTTCCAGATGTGCCAAGAAGAGAGCTCCCTGCGCAGTAGCTCAGTCGTAGGTTTCATTCCCTCAAGCTAAAGGTCATTTCCTCAGATTGTTGCTTCAACAGTGGTCTCCTCCTCAACAATCGGACCCGTGGACATTTATTTACAGGACTCATAAAAGAGCTTTTGTCACTAATCTGGTCCCTAATTTGAATAGTGTGAACCTACCGCTGAGAATGGTGACACGAAGCAGCGTCATAATCACGTCTGGCAGCATCTGTCTCTGTCCCCTCTCTGGCTGCTGGATGGCTGCCCAGAATAGTGCAGTGCTGCAGTTTTCTATTGGTCCTTTGGTCTTTCCAAGTGTTCATGTTTGGCTTTACAGACCAGACTAGACCCTGAGAGCCCCCCACCGTTTCCACTCTCAGACTCAGTCTTGTTGTCCAGTGTCTCATTACAGAGTCTTTTACTATTCACAGCTTTGTTTCCAACATGTTGGAAAGCTAGCGTGGCTCGCTGCCACTCCAAACAAATCCACGCAGGATTGGGGGCTTTGACTTAAGTGGCTCCTGAATTACGTCTCAACAGCCTCTTTTTCTCCTCTTTATAGCTTTTCTGTTAGCTGCCACTTAGGACAGTTTCCACTTATATTCTGACTGACATTCATAAACAAACCATAGTAACCATTCACTCATTGTTAAAAAGCTCACTGTTTAATTCTCTTTCTTTCCCCTTCTTCTGCATTTCAGATCACTGATGGAAAGTGCCTTTTGAGACAACATCCCTACTAGAAGATTCTCGAGTGTTTATGAAAAGCTCCAGAGTTTTCCTCTCTGCAGTCGTGGCAAGTCAAAGTTCAACCACAAGCCCCCTCTCACCCTTCCCGACTCTTGCTTTATGCTTGCTCGTGCTCTCTAAAGAGCTAAGAGTTGGACGCTGCTTCATTGCTGGCCAAAAGTGCTAAAGTGTTAAAAGAACATGTGCTAAACTTCAAAATAAGGCCACACACTTGTGCGCTGCTCATAAAACAGGATATTTGAGGACACTGGTTCATGTAATACAGGTTGTTTGCAGTGATGCCCTGTCCCCTTCGTCAGAGGTCTGCACTTGAGACRTACTGATTGATCGATGAGCAGTTATTTGTTGAATTGACAACCTCCACAGCGCCACGTTTGTGCATTCTCATGCTCAGGTCACAGAGACTTTGCCAGTCCATTACCTCTGTTTTTTTCTCTCTGCAAGGACAARCCTCACCCCTCTGACCTGAAGCAGAGTATTTATAGCTCCATGTTACACCAGTTTTAGTTTTTATCCCTTTTTTAAAAATTGTTTTACTGAGAGACCTTGTCCGAGGACAAGCCTCCACCGAGCAGCTCATCCCCCAGCCGTCGCCCTCGACATGGCTCTGAACATAGCCTCCATACGGGACACGAAATGGCTGACCCTGGAAGTGTGCCGGCAGTTTCAGAGAGGAACGTGCTCACGCAGCGACGAAGAATGCAAATTTGCTCACCCGCCCAAGAGCTGCCAGGTTGAGAACGGGAGGGTGATCGCCTGCTTTGACTCGTTAAAGGTAAGAACTCATGTCATGTGCTATCATTTAAATTATACCCATGCAGAACTAGTGTAAAATCTAATGTAAAATGTTAGTTTTATGGTTTTTAGAGTCCAATACCCACCGTTTTAGTTCCAAGCTCTCTTAAGGGGTAATTACTGTTGTAGAATGCAATAATAATGTTTTTCTCATTTGCAATTTGCAAGTGTAAAAAAATACCTTTTTTATAAGCAAATTGGTCAAAACACCTAAGCACACACCTGATGGTGTACCCAAGTCTGATGACATCATGCCAGGGACCAGGCACAGGCAGGTTTTTTGTGTTCGGTGCACTCTTCCTCTTTTCCTCTTCTAAAACAAATAATGGATCTCTCACTTCTACGTCAGAGTCCTCGCTGTCAACCTCAGTTTTTCTTTTTCATCTCTAACTTTTCTGTCCCAGAAGATTTTGACTACGGTGCCATCACCTCAGCTCAAACAGAAACTGCAGCTTTATATTTAAAAACGGCCTCATTGGGCCTCATGCAAGAACATGTTYGTATTCTTATCCTGAATTTCTCTTACTTTTGTTCGTATGAAGGGTTCGTACGAACATGCCATTAGGAAAAGTGTGTAAATGAGCTAGTGCTGGGCGGTATGACAAAAATTTATATCACGGTATTTTCAACATTTACACCGGTATCACGGTATTTTTCTTTTCATCACAGGTCAGCTGATAATAAAATGTACAAACACTGCTTATTAACTTTTTTCTTTTACTGTACCTCTGTCTGTGTGTCTGTTTCCCTCCTCTGTGTCTGTTCTTCTCTGACTGGTGGTTGGAGACAGTAATCATGCATTTTGGTCCAGTTGTGAAGGAGGAGGGTTAAGAAAAGGTTATTATCGGGTCTATTGTTTTATGTTATTTAATAAAGATTATCAGTACGACTCACCTTGCACACCAGTCAACTCAATTTCACTACAAAACTTCTTCCCCTGGGGCTTTTCACAATAGAAGCACGCTAAAGTCTCCATGCGTCTCCACGTCTCCATATTAACGTTGCGTGTTATATCTAACCATGCACGTCATTGAAGATGTGTTTACTACATTCAGCGACGGCGAAAACGGGATGTTTTTTTAACGTCGGTCAATATAAGCAGCGAATCGCCACCCGCCACTGCAACAAACTGCTCAACATTAGCATGCTAACGCACATAGCAGTGCAGCAAGGAAAAGCGTCCCACGGGAAACAGTTCACTGGCGGCCGCGACGTAACGTTCTGCACATATTCAGGCTATTTAAACAGGTATGTCTGCATTCAGAAAATTCGTATCATAACAAAAATAAAAACCGGTATTCGGTACGAACCGGTATACCACCCAGCACTAAAATGAGCGGTGTAAACTGATGAGATTAGCGTAATTACCACCCTAAAAACACCATATAAGGCTATACGTTCCTGCCCCACATACCAGGAAGTTCCATCCATAAATGACACCACAAAGTAAAGAGAAGAATTTTACGAGTTGGGAGTAAAATTGAAAGTAAAATTGAAAGTAAAATGGAAGTAAAGGGTCTGTTTCCAAAACCATGACTTAAACAGCTTGAAATGATCACAAAACCTGTTTTATTTTTCAATATTTGTCACAGAACATAGATATTTTTGTTAAGTTTATTTTTCTGGACATATAACTTAAAAAATGGTAGGTGTTTGACTTGATCTGTTGGTGGGTGTAAGCTGTCTGCTCAGATTAGCATGTGAGTCAGGTCTCAGATCTCAGACTAGCCTGATCTATGATGCTAAAGGTCAGAGAGTTCTGTTGTCATGTTCCTTACCACCAGCAGAGACTTCTTCTTATGTTACCTCTCCTCGTCCATCATCTGTAGGTCAGATGAATGCCTGGTCGTCTTGAGGCACTGCAGAACGACTATTCTTGGAACCGTTTCAGCTGTTGTAGTGTATACAACCAGCAAACAAAAACAGTTTGAGATTGTTTTGTAATGATTGGTTTCAACCATATTAACAAAAAATTCAGGACCGTGTCAGCTTAAATAATATGCTCTGTTGAAAGTCTGCAGTTTAGCTGTTCACAACCTTATCTATTTTAGCTTTTTTTGCTGTTAGTACAGCTTGCTTCCTCACACCTGTTTCCTCCACCTCTGTTGTGGGTAGTTCTTCTCTTGACTTTAGTTTGGAGAAACAAACTTTAATTCTGACCAATGGACAACTAAGCGTCTTTTGCCAAAACCAAATTGGATTGCTGCTGCCTTAAAACAACTCCAGTCTCAAAAATTTCACAATGATTAACACAAACTGTATTTTTAAAACATTTACATCACCGTAACGTCTGCATTACAAGGTTATTCGAGCAAAAATATTTTGATACTTTATGCTGGAATAACCCAAGATTTCACTGGAAGTCCTACGTCTGCAGCCACCAACAGCTGTCATATCCAACCATGCAGTACAAATTTTGATTAAGCTTGGATTCGCTGTTAGCACCTCAGTATGTTAGCATCTAGGGGCATTTAGGGGCGGCTGTGGTAGAGTGGTTAGGGGAGTCGTCCTGGAACAGGAAGGTCGCCGATTCGATTCCCGTCCAGTCGACTCGGTCGTTGTGTCCTTGGGCAAGACACCTTACCCGCCTTGCCTACTGATGGTGGTCAGAGGGTCCGGTGGCGCCTGTGTATGGMAGCCTCGCCTCTGTCARTGCGCCCCAGGGCAGCTGTRGCTACAATTGTAGTTTGCCATCATCAGTGTGTGAATGGATGAATGTCTGCAGTGTAAAGAGCATTGAGTGTCCTGGATGGATAGAAAGGCGCTTTATAAGTACAGTCCAATTAACATCCATCAAACTTTCTCCAAACTGAGGAAGACCAAAACCCTATCTGCAACAAATATGTTACGAATTGTTCACAACCTTTTCACAGAACCCTACTTTAAAAGATTCTTAAATTATAAAAAAAGTCAATTCACATTGTCCTCCACATGCTGCATATAAGAGCAACATACTATTTTTCTAACTTTGTAGTCTGCTAAAAAAAACCACCAGATGTGACAATGATGAATTGCAGAAAAAACTAAAAACTAGATCACAACAGCAGGGCAGCGAGGACTGTATATTTTGCCTGAAGCTGCAGTTTACATCCACAGCTTGGTAACAATAGAAATTATATTTCCTAATTTTTAAAGCTAGATTAGATTTAGATAGATAGATAGATAGATAGATAGATAGATAGATAGATAGATAGATAGATAGATAGATACTTTAATAATCCCAATGGGA